CCAAATTTGAAACAATTCTGGTGAATAATGTCGCTAAAATCATCAAAGTACCGAATATCGGGAGGTACCGTTATATGGGGGCTATGCGAAGACGTGGACCTGCACACACAATTTTCTGTTTTAGGCTGTAGTATCGATTATAAAATTTAAATACCAAATTTGAAACAATTCCGGTGAATAATGTCGCTAAAATCATCAAAGTACCGAATATCGGGAGGTACCGTTATATGGGGGCTATACCAAAACGTGGACCTACATGGCCCATTTTTAATACCAAAAGTCCTGCAGACATAATACACATTTGAGTAAAATTTTATCAATCTACTTCATTTCGTTCAGAAACTAGAGTGATTTCCACAGACGGACGGACATCGCTAAATCGACATAGATTTTTATGCTGATTTAGAAAATTTTGTAATTGTATAATTGTATATTTCGAGGTGTTACAAACGGAATGAAAAAAATATTAAATTCGGCCGGGCAGAGCTTTTAATATCCATTTTTCAAAAAAGCATAAAGTGGTGAGGCCGTTTTATGAGGGCCATTCCCAAAATGGGAATCTATGTAGACAATTTTATACTACAAGGATTGTTATAATTTGCGAGTTTTAAATGCAATTTTGAAAAAAATCGTGGTTAAATATGACGTGGATTATGAAAATAACAAATATCAGTACGCTATGGGAAAACATGAACCTAGATATTCAACCGGAGTGAGAACTCATTAGTTCTAATACGAATTTTTAGACAAATCCGTGGAAAAATGTGGCAAAGATCAACAAAATACAGAATATGTTCAGCTCATGAGCCATTTTCGGACACTACGACGCTTGTTTCGATCAATTCGCTTCTTTACTTTCCGAACCATTTCCTTGACGTCGGACTACGCTACCAGTATCACGGTAACGAGCGATGGTACGAAACACAAAAGATTTATTCACATTTAAATGCTGGAGTGCTCTAACGATAGCCACCTGTGGTTTTCCGGTCAAATATAAAAAATCACACTATCACGCTTGAATTCCATCACGAATAACTTTTTTCTGGAAAAATCTCACCAAAATGCTTTTGTACGCTTGTAAACAATATAATGAGCAGTCACTGGAATAATTTTAACTGCTGTCGGACGAGTGGCTTAGAAGTGACAGCAGTCTGAAGTTGGTTGCCGTTTTTTCATCTCACCCATTAAGGTCTGCTAACCTTGATGGACAAAGAAGTACAAATCAAAAAACCTCTGATGAGAAAATCGAAGATGTTGATGAATAATGTTTATACCCTACATCACGCTTTAGCCAGGGTATTATGTCTTTGTGCATTTGCTTGTAACATGGAGAAGGAAGCGATATAGACAGATAGTTCCCTTTGATGATCTCCATAGAATCACATTCTGAGTCGATTTACCATTATCCGTCTGTACATGTGTTTTTGTATTTACAGATTTTGCACAAATCATTTGGTTGGCCCAAGGGCAAACCCTATTGGGGAAAATCGGTCAAAATTTAGATGTAGCTCACATACACATCTTCGTCTGATTTCCCAATGGGTAATAATAGCCCAAATAGAAAGGATTTTGGCACATACGATCATATTAAGAATAGACAAAAATATGTCAAATTTGGTGGAAATCGGTTGAGATATACCTATAGCTTATATATACAAAGACATAGAAGTGTAAAGATGGGACAAGACAGAGTCAAGATATGGCAACCCTGTGAAAATACATCTGTTGTTATGATATCGTAACAACATAGTTAAAAATGTTAAGCGATTAAAACCGCTTAGGCAATATGCAATTAACTGCGAAAGTCTATGGAATAAAATTTTGAAACCCCAGTTTTGGATTTTTCAAATTTTTGTTTGTCTTATATTTCTATAAAAGTGTTTTTTATATTAACATGGTCCTGCCATGAGCTGTTATCTGGATAGTATAGGCACAAACCATTTGCTCAAAATGCATTTTGTGTAGTCTTTACCATTTTAGGTCTTTGATGTATATAGTGATTATCCGATTTGTTATTTTCGTCCTTCACAACGATCTTCGGGAAAATATATCAAATATAGCTTAGAAATACATTTACCAAATTTTATCGAGATCGGTTTAGATTTTGATATAGCTCTCATATGTATCTTTACTCAATTTCAAGATTATTGCGGACCAAATGGGTAATACAGGTCCGAACTGAAAGGATTTTGGCACATACGAATGAATTGAGCCTGGATGAAAGTGTATGAAATTTGGTTAAGATATAGCTATAGGTCCCATATATATGTTTCACCCGATTTTGTATTAAAGTCCCTCACACGCGGAAAATCCTCTCCACAACAACAATATTTGGTCCCAGCTATCAGATACAGCATAGAAATACCTCTGCTAAATTTTATAGAGATCGGTTCAGATTTGAATATAGCTCACCTTCTTCATCCGATCTCATGTTTATTGTACCTAAAAAGTGTAATATCAGCTCAAATAAGAATGATTTTGATGAATATCGGTTCAGTCCATCAAATTTAGAGGAAATCGATTAAGAGGAGGATAAACTTCTATATACTAATACCTTTACGTATTTAAAAACGTAATTCTCCATTAATACGTTGTTTGTTATGTTGGTTATACTTAACAATTCGGTGTGGGGTGTCATAAAGTCGGCACGCCACGGCTTTGAGCCTTTCTTTGCTGTTTTTTTTTGTTAACTTCGACATATTATATACCCCTTTCTTAAATATATCAAATAGCTGAAGAATTATGTCCAAAACTCATTCTGCCCAAAAGGTTCTGCCCCAATTGTTTCTCGCCTCTTCCAAACTACTGTCTTACTGTGATTTTGACTTTTGCCGTCGTCAACATTTTCAAGGAATTTAGAGGAATGCTTGACTTTTGCACTGGCACTTATCTAGCTTTTTTTCTCACAAGCTGACTGACTGGGTTTATGTTCTCTTCTTCTTCTGCTGCTGCTTTCTTCAGATACTTAAATATTTTTTCTTCACTTAAGCCGGGGCTAAGCTTTTAGTCAAATTGGAGTTACCTTGAGGGGATTTCTGCACTCCAAAAATGTTAACAACGAGGAAAAGAGAGGAATTACAGCACACGTGAGTAGACACGGCGGTTGTTCACGCCCTTCCCACACAACTAGAACATTGCCATTACAGTTGTAATGTTTTCATTTCATTTTCATTCGTTTCCTCTTCTTCGGTTGTGGGTGGTTGGAGGAGGAGAGGGTGTGTGTGTGTGTGGGTGCCTGTTTATGTTGACATTTTAAAGCATTAATGGATTTTCGGTAAGTATTTTTCCATTTCAGCGATAAGACAGCAGCAGCAGGCGAATGCCACCCACATTCGTCGTCCTCCTGCACAGGAGATAATGACATCTTGGGGTGATGAGTGCCACTCGGAGTTACAGTTAAGCGGAATACATTTGCTTGTAGATTCCTCTTAATGTTGGCTCTTTTTTTCGTTTGCAAAGTTGTTATTTATGAATTTTAATTTGCGCGGACGTGTGTGTGCGTGTGGCAATAAAACGTGCAGTTTCTTTATTATACCCTCCACCATTCTATGGAGGGTATATTAACTTGATCATTCCGTTTGTAACTCCTCGAAATATTCATAATAGACCTTACAAAGTATATATATTTTGGATCAGCGTAAAATTCTAAGACGATCTAGCGATTTCCGTCTGTCTGTCCGTCTGTCTGTTGTAATCACGCTATCTATCGAACGAATTGAGATAGAAGGCTAAAATTTTGCATACAAAAAATTATTTGCAAAATTTACTACTTAACCTGCCAAGGTTAAGTTCGTAAATGGGCCATGTCGGATCACGTTTTCGTATAGCCCCCATATAACGGTATCTCCAAATATTCGGAATTTTGATGATTTCAATAACATTCTTCACCGGACTCGTTTCAAATTTCGAATTTAAAGTTCGTAATGAGTACTACAGCCTATGACAAAAATTGTTGTATGCAGGTCCAAGTCCTCGTATAGCCCCCATATAACGGTACCTCACGATATTCGGTATTTTATGATTTTAGCAACATTATTCACCGGAATCATTTCAAATTTCGTACTGGAAGATGCTAATGGGTGCTACAGCCTATGCCAAAAATTTTTGTATGCAGGTCCAAGTCTTCGTATAGCCCCCATAAAACGGTACCTCCCAATATTCGGTATTTTGATGATTTCAGCAACATTATTCGCCGGAATTGTTTCAAATTTGGTGTTTGAAGTTTGTTATGGGTACTACCGCCTAAGACAGAAAATTGTCCGTGCAGGTCCACGTCTTCGGTACCTGCTGATACTCCATATTTTCATGATTATTGCGATATTATTCACCGTAATTGTAACAAATTTCGTATTTGAAGTTCGTAATGGGCACTACAGCCTATGGCAAACAATTTCGTATACAGGTCCATGTTTTCGTATATTCCCAATATAACGGTTTTCATTTAAGTGGTAGTTTTCGGATTTGTTTTTTTTTTTTTTTTGAAATTTTTCAATTTCCTTCGACATGGTGGAGGGTATTAAAAGTTCGACCCAGCCAAACTTAGCTTCTTGTTTACTTGTTTTTGGTATGGCTTGTTTCTTTGTTTATTCGTAGCTTCCTGACTTCTCTGACTTGCTTGCCATCTTGGCTCACAGGTGACTTACTCTAGATATTATCAGTTTTACAGTCAAGCAAAAACATTCGAAATTATCAATTCTCAATTGTTTGTAGGACATAACTGTTCTCAATACAACTATTGTAGCGTGGTTCCACTGTATATTTAAATCCCAAACTTGATATGCTATTCCTTTATTCTCACAGTGGAAACGAAAACGATGACAATAATGCCGATGACGATGATGATATACATATACAAGCATGATGAGCAAAAGAACAACCGATTTACGAGGAAAATGACAAAAACGGAAATCTGAGCTTTAACTTGAAACAAAAACAACTTATATGGTGTTTTTTCTTCCGTTTTTTTTTTACTTTTTTGTATAAATAATGGGTTTACATACCGTTTTGTCTCTTAGCATTCCGACCCGACAATTCAGCACTGCTTCCGTATAGAGATGGGCTGTTGTTATGCTATTGTCACCCGAGGTCGTCGAGTTGAGTGGCTCTTCGAAGAATGGCCCCCAGTGCTGTTCGTGATGATGGCGGTTGCGAAAAATGCGTGGTCGCTCTGTTTCCGACACCAGTGACGACTTTGACGAAGAGCCTAGTCTAAAATTGCCACTAATGCTGGACGAAGATGACGCCGCCACAGCAGGACTTCCCATGCTGGTGGGAATATGGCTAATGGCGACACCACTGGCTCTATAGCCTTCGCCTGCAACAGCCACACTATCGCCAGCCATCTCACTACCCACATCCCCACCTCCTCCGCCAGTGAGAGCAGCATCTGTAAAGAACAATGGAATGAAGAAATATTAATGACATCAACAGCATCAAGTTAAAGAAACAAAACCAGCTGCCAGAAGTGTGTCAAACGCCAAAACACAACGACCAAACGCTGGGCCAGACGCAAGAGAAATGAACTGTTATTATTTCAAATGCTCCATAAAAATGCTAATATAAAGCCAAGATATTAAAACAAATATGCTTCAGTCTCCATCTCCATTGTCCTGTGTGTACATATTTCTCTTTTTTTTTTCTACTTAATACCCGCTCTTGGTAGGAAGCTTAGAGAATTTATTTTCCATCCTCTTCGCCTTGTGTTTGCTCTAGTTTATGCTTAGGTTTATCTGATAAAAGTGGATTATTGTGGATATTAAATGCTAGAGTTTAGCATTTTTGCTCATGCACCAGTGGCGTTTTATTTTAAAAACTTGGCTATTTACTTAACATATTACTTTGCATTTAACATTTAAATGTTTATTTCATTATTAACTTTTCACTTGGAATAAAAACAGCAACAACTAAAAAAACGATTTAAGTAAGGTCAGTCAGTTTTTGCGCACCTTACCAAGGGCGACAGAAATTTTAAACTCATATTTGGATTAACAATTTTGAAAAATTTCAGCAAAATTGTTTACATTGCCTTGGAATTTGAAATGGCAAATCACAGCCAACTCAGTGAGAAACTATGGAGAAATATTTTAAATTTTGCCATAGTCAAACCCATTTGTTTGTAAGAGAAAGAAACGAGGTAGAAACGAGGTAGATCCAGAGAAAGAAACGAGGTAGATCCATAGTTCCTTTTGGCGATATCACCAAGGACGAACCCTATCTATCAAATTAGGCCTGAAAAAAAGTATGCCCAATTTGATCGAAATCGGTTCAGATATAGCTATAGCTCCCATGTATATTGTTCAACCGATTTTTATTTTTGTCCTCTGCAGCCGTAATATGCACTCTGTAAGAACAATATTTGGGGATATATACCAAATTCAGCTCAGAAATAACTTTACTAAATTTTATCGAAATCGCGACAGATTTGGATATAGCTCCCATGTTATATCATTATCCGATTTCAAGTTAATTGTGTACCAAATGGGCAATACAAGCCCCAATTGCAAAGATACAAATTCTTCAGCAAATTTAGTACTTTGAACTTAAATTATAATTATAATCATAGCTTGTATGATTTAATTATCCCATAAAAACTTTTAATTGTTATGTGAAGCTCTACTAAAAATGCAAAGTGGTGGAGGGTATTATAAAGTCGGCCCCACCTGACTTTAAGACTTCATTTACTGGTTTTTACTTTTTATTTTTCATACAGACCAAGTCCAAACTTGGAACATATTAGTATTTAGAAAGGCTAAGGTAGTCTTGGACCAGCGACGTAACTACAAATTCAGTTCAAACCTATTTCATGGAGCAAAAAAACAAGTAAAAATATGTTAAGTCCATGGGGATCGGAATTGATTATTGTGTTGGGGTGAATAAAGTCTTAAAAATGGAGTAAAGTCGATGGTACCAGTTTCCTGCCAAAGTGGGTTTCAAAGTGTCAAATACCACATAAAAAGATCTGGCTAACATCACCCAAATACCAAATATTCGGAGGTGTGATAAAAGAAATAACAGGCACAGCCGTCTTCTGTCACAGAGAACAGGGCCCATTACAAGCTCCGATTACATACCCATTTTTTAACGATTCCCACGAAAATGTGATTAAAATTATCAGTATACCCAATATGAGGAAGTACTGAAACATGAGGAGCTATAGCAAAATGTGAACCTATACCTGCAATGATCTGCCGCAGGAGGTAGAACTCATCACGAACCCTAAGTATCGAATTTCGGAATATATGGAACTATAAGAACAGATGGATCTGTATATACAATGTTCAGCCATAGAAGAAGTAACGAATTTTTAACAATTGTATTAAATAATGGGATCTAAGTCGTCAAAATGCCGAATATCGGGAACTACCGTTATATAAGAAAAACGTGGACCTATATAGACAATGTTTTGCCACAAGAGGAGGAACCCATTATAAAATCTATGAATAGAATTATAAACAATTCAGTTTAAAAATGTGGTCTAAATACCTGAAATACCGAATATCGGGAGGTACAGTTACATGGGGATTATAAGGAAATGTGGAGTTATATACACAATGCTTTGCTACATGAGGTATAACCCGTTAAAGCTATAAGTACATCATTTTAAACAATTCTGTTAGAAAATATTATCTGGATCTTCAAAATATCGAATATCGGAGGGTACAGTTATATGGGGGCTAACATGAGCATTTCGCGTTACAAACGGAATGACAAAGTTAATATAACCTTCATAGTCATAGGCAAAGTTAATATAACCATTTCGCCCCGTTTGCGTTCGTCCTGAATTTGTTCACCCCTTCTCGTAGCAACATCTCAAAAAAGCAACATTTAGAATACCAAAAACTTTCATCAAATGTGAAGTCAGCTTACAATTCTCTTCAAACTTCACACATCCCACATACAATTATGTATCGTGTTCAGATTAATTCATACAAATTTTGACCACGACTGCGTCTCAAATGGTTTATTCGCTTAGTCCAATTTTGGTATACTCTTTCCAAAATTTCGGTCGTTATCTCACGAATAAATGCTTCAATGTTGTCTCCCAATGTGTCAATCGAAGCGGGCTCATTTGAATATCTATAGGCTTTAACATGGGCCGACAAAAATTTGCTCAAGTCCTTAAACCGCACGATCTAGGCGGTCAATATAATCATTCCACGTACTAAAGACAGAAATGAATACATACATGAATACAGAATTGCGAGTACCAAAATACTAAAATTATGATTTTGAAATAAATCAAGGCTGCAACATTTAAATAAAAATCCGTCTAATCAAGCTTTAAAGTGTCAACGTTCTTTTATGCTTGAGATACGTCTACGAAAAATGGCTCGTGCGCTGAACATATCGCAATATTCCATTCGGCAAATATTAAAAAATGAGCTCGAAATTTCAAAAAGTGCACGAACTTACACCACAACAGTAAGAAAATAGACTCAAAAGAGGTAAAGAATTGCTTCGCTTGGCCGAAAGTGGTGAACTGCCGAATTCGGTTTTCTCCGATGAGAAAATATTCGTTGTCCAGACAAACAAAATGATCTTGTTTTCTTGCAAAGAGGTCAGCTGAAAATGTGCACCTTCGGTTGGCCACCAGAACTCAAGCGCCGGCCATGGTGATGGCGTGGGCCGCCATAACAGCCGATGGTCGTTCTCCGCTCGTATTAATCGACCATGGCATCAGAATAAATGCCGAACATTGTCACGAATATATTCTGGAGGGTGTATTAAAGCCTTGGGCACACAATCATTTTGGCCGCAGACCTTGGACATTCCAAGAGGACTCATCAGCATCGCACTCAGCACGCGGTATTCAAGAATGGTTACAAAATGAGGTTCCTCGCTTCCAGCGCACATCCGGATCCGTTGGACTATTGTGTCTGCAGTATTTTGGAAAGCAAGTTTGGCACTAAAAAATATCAAAGTGTCAATCACCTCACGTTCGGTCAGCGTGTGACACATTTATTGGGCGTTTGAAGACCATTATTCGTTCCAAAGGTGACAAATTCGAACAAATCTAAACTTTTTTTGCTCTCATTCAATTTAAAAAAAAATGTAAAAATTATGGCGTTTGACTTATCCTGCATGGAGGGTATATTAAGTTTGTCATTCTGTTTGTAACACTTAGTATTATCCATACTTATATTCTTGATCATGGCCGTTTGTCTGCCCGTCTGGGGAAATCCCTTTAGCTTGAAATAGGTTAAAAATATAGGTTAATAATATATTTCCCAGATGTTTTTTTAATGGCTGTAGAACTGTCAATGTACTTCCTCCTATGACAGAAAATTACATATGATGGTACACGTCTTCGTACAGTCCCTTATAATAGTACCTTCTGATTATATTATCGCAATGAACACCGTATTCTCTGGCATATAATTGACTTCACTATAACAGTACCACCCGATATTCAGTATTTTAATATTTTTAGGGTCATTTTTTACGGAATTTTAAGCAAGCTAAATATCCTTCAATTGGTTAAGGGTATTTTAATTTCAGCCGTGCCAAACTAAGCTCATTTTCCGGATCATTGTCCGAAATTATATCATTCAGTGCCGATTGTGACTGCAGCCCTTTGCTCAGCAGTTCGTTCGCCCCCAGTGATTAGTATTTTCCTTCTGATTCATCTGATCTAAAACTGCAAATAATGCTGGTCTACTTGATTCATAGCTGTTAATATAATTTTCTATTTAAGTTCGTGTATCATCGATTGCACATTAATTTTCTGATTTTTGCTGGTGTACCATAGAGTTACGATTTGTTGTTATTTTGAGGTTACTATGATGTAATGCAAAGAGTCCACTCCGACTTTTGTATTTTTCAATACCAAAAAGTTGATTAATTAACTAATCGAGAGAAGAGTTGTGGATCACAATTAAATAAAATTTAAAAATATAAATTTCTATTACATAATTGATTCAATATACGCATTTAAATTGAATTCCAGTATTGATATCTTAAAATAAATCTTACCGACAATTGTTCCTATTTCATCTCATACAGGCAGTTATCAACAAACCGTCCCTTATTTTAATTAGCCATAATTATTTTGCACGTTTAAATAGAAATTAAACCGAATTACATAATTACCGGTCTACTTCCCTACAAAACAATTATGACTTTCCCTTTGACATTCGGCCCTCAAATTACCGTAAGGATATTTCATTTATTTGTTTTTGTTTGGGTTTTTTTTTTATGAATTGCGGCCATAAAACTTTCCTATTACAAGCATAATTATTTGTCGACGGTGAGCGGTGAACGTGTCTTGTATGCGAATAAGTGTCAGCCCTCGTGGAAAATGCTAAGGAAATGTTGCGGAAAATAGTTCTTAATCCATAAAACCAGTCGACAATTAAAGTTAACAACTTCTTTGGCCGGGTAAGTGAC